TGGTGAGAAACTACTTTGAGAATTTGACCATTATTTTTTATTTATTTAAAAGTAAGTATATAAATCAAAAAATAAAAGAGCTAGAGAACCAATTGCAGATCACATATACAGGATATACAAGTGGATGAGAACAGGCTCCCATAGAAACAAAGAAAAAGAGCTAAAACTAGAAGGTTGTTCAAGGAATCGACATTATAGATTCTAAGAAAAACTCATCATTAAACCTACGCTAGCTAACTGGAACCATTTACAAGGCTCAACGGCATATAAAAATCTTGCTGAGAAGACCAAAAGTTAAAAATTTACAAAGCAAATATGATTACTAACCAACATGAAGAATAATGTGGTCCTTCTCATGGAAATGAAAGATCATGAAGAAGAGGAGCTGAAACTTCCGAAGAGACATTCAATTATCGAGGTTGAGCCGTCAAAAAGTCTCTTGTTACGTTCCTCTCAAATCGGATATACTATGATGGCTAACGAAACCCATCTCATTCGGGCTTTCGGATTGTTATGCCTAATTGAGAGACCCCGAATGGCGCCGGTGAGGGTAGACATGCTCGCGATTAATACTTAGCCAATACCGAATCCGACCCCATAGGCTTCGTTGTCTAAGGGCACTCAAAAAACAGATTATGATGACATTCAAGAGCTAGTCGACAAAGCGAACAATTGGTATCATCCGGGGCAAAGCGGAGGCGGTTAACGGTTTTGAGCTTTCCGTGAACCGCTAACCACGGAACAAAGGCATACTATGGTAGGGTCCATTGTTCCCAAACTACGCGAGTCCAATTAACCAAAGCACCCGTGGGTCGTAGACAGTTGTAGGCATTACGGATAAATTTACCTCGACCCAAAAATCTAGTTGGCCTATCGCTTGCGTATTGTCCCCAAAAATCGCTTTGAGCGGATCTTAGATGGAAAGAATGCCCTTCCACAAGGCCGAGGCCGTCCGATGCTCTTGAACATCCCGGACCAAAGAGTCTTTTAAGTAGAAATGGTGAACCCATTGGATCTAAATCGAGTCGGCTTTTCGATGAATGTCCCAAAGCCGCCTTGCGAGAAAGCATCGGTTGAGCACTTTGAGGTCCCAAACTGCTAAGCCCCTTCGGACTTCGGGTAACTCAAGCACCTTCCAAGAAACCGGAGCTGAATGATATTTTTAAATATCCTCGATCCAAAGGAAATTCGACGGAGGTCGGTGATACGGGAAATGACAATGGACGGTATGAGGAAGATGGCTAACCGGAACTCGGATAATACCCGCAAGAACAAACTGCGAAGCTCAAGACGGTCTACATATGAGAGATGCTTACCCAACCATGCTTGCACTCGTCAACTCCAAGCTCCGTAATAGCGAGAGAGAATTGGCTAGCAAGAAGGCGAGTGAAGGCCGAGCGGGACTTCGAGATATCCGAAGGGAAAGGTGCCTTCGGTAAACTCGGTATCCTGGAGAAGAGTTTGCTTAAGGCTTTCGATGATTCCCCCAAAATAAATAGAGGATTTGGACACATTGATGGTGAGGCCGGAGGTTCGACCAAACTTACGTAGCCGTGAGGAGAAGCACCGCACGGAGGCTCTATCCCTCGGCAAATGAGCATGATATCATTCGCAAACACAAGGTGATAGATTTTAAGAGGCTCACACCGAGGGTGATAGCAAAAATCGACCTTAGCAAGTGGAAAGCTTAAGCATATGGGAGAAGTACTCTATGCAAACGATAAATAGGTAAGGAGAGAGAGGTCGCCGAATTCCACTTTGGTTGTTGAAGAATTCGAAGAGACTACCATTGATCGAAACCGAGTAAGAGGGAGTCTCCACACGAGTCATAACCAAATGAACAAAAGCACCAGGGAAGCCAAAGTGCCGAAGGAGAACTCATAAAAATGACCACCGAATCGAGTCAAAGGCTTTTTGAAGTCCACCTTGAGTAAGCAACGCGAGAGGCACGCTTCCTATCATACTATCGAAGAAGCTCTTGTAGAAGATGAATATTGTCCGACATCCGCCTCCCTCCTAAAAATATATTTTGCATAGGGCTAATAATATCAACCAAATCAAAGGCTAACCCGGAGGAGAAGATCTTCGAAATAACTTTGTACACCACATTGCAATAAGATATCGAGCGATAATCCACTGGAGAAGATGCATTAGCTGATTTTGGGATCGAGCAATCATCGAGTGGTTGACTTGCTTAAGAAGCCGACTCGAGAGAAAGAAATTCTTAACCACAACATAGAAGTTCGACCCCACTACACCCCAAGCATGTTTAAAGAACATAGAAGAGTAGTCATCTAGACTCGGAGCTTTGTTATGATTAATCCCAAATAGAGTGTCCCCGATAGTCGCATCGAAAATCGAAGCTAGAAGCAAGTCATGAGCGCTAGCATCTAGGCAAGGCCTTTGTGAAATTCCCGCAGACCTCGAGAGGAATGGAAGCCTTAGTCGAACCAAGTAGTGTTTTGAAGTAATCGACAAAGAGCCCACCCACAGCAAGCAAGTGAAGTAGTAAGTCGCCCATTAGTGTCCTCAATGGTTGCTATGAAGCTCTTCTTATGGCTCGGCTCATGAGAGAGTGAAAGAATCGATCGCCCTTGTCACTCTCTTCTAAGTATTGACACTTAAGCTTTTGATCGAAGAACATTTTCTCGGTTGGCTTAAGATTAACCAAAGCTAGCCTTAAGCTTTGATCCCGCTCCAAGAGGTAGGGGCTATCGCGGTCATTCCGAAGGGTCCGTTACGGATTCTCGAGGTCCTCGGAGGCTCTAGCTACTCTTTTTGAAATGTGACTAAAATGAAGCTTGTTGAGTGTCTTCAACGGGCCTTTTAGAACTTTAAGCTTTCGACACAAGCATAAACATAGGATCGCCCGAGGAGTCACAATGCCAATTCCGAGCAACTAGTTGGAGAAAACTATCGTGGTGAGCCCATATGTTAAAAAAATTATAGTGCTTATCGACCAAGAGGAGCTTGATTATCCAAGTGAACCCATGCCCGAGCATGATCGGAAAAACCACCCGGAGGACTAAAATGGACGGAGGTCGGAAGATTGAGCATGGACCGAGTGGATTCACAAGGACTCGATCAATCTTAGTCTAGATGGTACCACCGTTCTAGGTAAAGTGGCTCTCCGAATATGTAAGATCATAGAGACCCGGATCCAAACAAGCATGACCGAAAGTCCATTGCCTCATAAGTAATGCCTCATCGCTCCATTGTGCTTGTCGGCTTAATCTCCGAGCATAAGCCACGTACAATGGAGATTCCAAGAATGAAGGTCGACCCATAACTCTCGACGTTGAATAATCTTACTATGGCCATACACGAATGTAGCCTTAAAACCCCGCCGATGGATAAGGCTACGAATGTTAACATTGAGACCTCGGGGAGAAGCGTCAACGAGATTAATTTCCACGGTAGCAGGATTCCATAATAGGACAATACGGACTTTTGTGTATGTCGTAGCATTGGAGGCAAGCCTCCACTTCTTAAATCAAAAATGATGCAATTGAGTGATCTTGGTCTCAACCAACGCGTAAACATCAATCCTTTTCTCGTCGCATGAGGCTAGCAACCTCATGTTACTTGAGGGGACTATCGAAGCCCCTCACATTCGAGCTAAGAATTATCATAAGGTAGCGAGAGGAGGTGAGGACCCCTTTTGTACTACGTTTAACCTTACGACTTTTCCGCCTAACGTATAGCTCCGACGGGTGCTCGAGAAGGTCTGTCGACCAATGGGTTTATTGGGATAACAGGAGCTACCATAGCCTCATCGAGAACTCGAATCATCTTCGAGGACCTCATTGTCATGCCACCTAACCCGCGGACCCGACGACTGCGGAGCCTCACCGCCCCTACCCCCGACCGTCCCGGACTATCCGGCCTAACCGTGGCTCATCGTCGAGTGCCGGAGGCGTATTACTAGGGCTTGCCATAGTAGCTTTACCCTTGGAATGCTTAAGAGCCAATTGTGACGTTGTGACCACTTGATCCCCCTGTTTGGGTTGTGCTTGAGCTTGCGGCATCGACCGAGCGGACTCCAATAACCAAGACTCGCGGATGGGGAGCCAATCTGGTTTTGGCGATGGCTTTGCGAGTAACTATCCGCCATTCCCTCGAAGCTACCGCGGCCTCGAAAAACATAGGGTCGAATGGGGCCTCACCGACGGAGTCTTTCTCGCACTTCAACATCATTAGATCCGTGCATCCGGCATCACTAGGCTCGACCCGGTTCCATCGTCCCCACCCCATTCACATTCTTGTCGGAGGCTAGACCGCCCGATACGAGTTGCGTCGTATAAGAGGCGAGTGGAATGTCCCATAACTCCACACTTTTTGCAATGGGTAGGAAGGGTTTCGTAAACCACTTGCCGAAGGAGGGTAGAGCCATTTGGTAACCCAAAATCGAAGGCCCTCGGCAGCCTCCTCCATAATGTTAAGTTCAATCAGCACTCGGGCATACCGGATCCATTCCATTGAGGCGGTGAGCCGATCACACCGAATGGGCTTACCAAGGAGGTCGGCCATTTTCGACAAACACATCGGAGACCAAGCACTTAAGTGGAAGGTTCGAAGCTTTATCCAAGCTGGAACCAATGTCATTTCTATAGTTGAAAAATCAAAGAACTCGGGCATGGGCCGCAACAACAAAGGCCTACCGTCGATCAAGTAGGGGCCTCTATTCGAGCACCGAAGATCTAGCTTCCTCCGAGGTAAATTTGTATGCGAGCCAACTCAAATCATGAATTGAGAGGTCGGCTCGACATTCCCAAGTACTAGCAATAATACCATTGAGAGCCTTAAAACTCCGAAGATTTTCCCGTAATATACCCAATTAGACAACATTTACATAATTCACATCGTGGGTCATTCTCAAGTAAAACACATAATTTACTTTCGATAATAGCGAGTGAAGTCCGTGAGCTTAGGGCATAAAGTTGGACTATAATTAGTGACAAACAAAGCTCTCCATTTGACGGATGGGGTTTGAGAAATACCTAGTTCATCATGTTGTTGGGAGGCTCTCCGGTCGGTGGGAGAGATGGCGACTGAGTCCGGCAGTAGAGGGCCGGGAATGTCCGACCTTAGGCTCGGGTTTCTAGTTGGAATGGAGCCTCCATCCCGTGGGGGAGGGGCCGGGCATGAACGAGAGGGATTGTTGTCCTTGGAAACCTTATGGACGGGAAGTTGAAAATTTGAATGTGTTCGGTGGGAAATCAAATTTTCATCCAGATTTGAATCTACCCGGTTGTCTTCATCGAATGCCAACTCCTCATCACTAGAACTCGATTCCACCTTCACATTGTCAAGTAAAGGAGGAGGAGCAACACATTTGGACCTAACACCTCTAGAATTGACGGATCCGGAATGGTGAACATTGTCTACAACGAACATGAACCATAAGGAAGAGCATCTATGGACGCGAGCGGAGCTATCACCTGGAGCGTCCGAGGGTCTATTTTCCTTAGTGTGGGAGTCCGTCTTCTTCTTTTCTTGGCCATAAGGGTCGGGATGAGCAAGGGAGATGGAGAAAGGAAAAGGTCGGGGAGAGAGAAAGCCAATGGAAATGGGGGAATCGGGAGGAAGGAGAAGAGAAGGAAAAGGAGGGGGCGAAACGAAGAGGTAAAAGAAGAGAGAGGTGGTGAGGAAGGAAGCTCGGAAGGGTCGGAGCGAGGAGAGTCGGTGGAGGCGCCGACCGAGTTAGGAGGAAAAACTCCATCGAAGGAGAGCATCTCTCTCTTCTTTCTCTCTCCTGGGGGTTTTACTCTTGAGAGCTCTAGAATTTGACCATTATTGCTAGAAAAAGAGTTGGTTATACTTTTCATAAACACCTTCGAGCCTCCCTATTTTGACTATCTATTGAACAACGAATCTAACGAGTTTTCTTGAGATAATATCCGGGATCGATCATATCAAGCAAGCTATTAAGGCAAGTAAAGTGACCGATTTTGTTAAATCAAGCTTTAAGAGGAATAACTTTAGAAAAAAGAAAGGATATAGGTATACACTAAGTTAAAGCACCAATCTTTCATTCAAGAAGTCGTTAGAAAACCTCGTGTAAGGCCAATAATTAATTTATTCCATGAGGTAATATGGCCAATCCTGTCGCTTAATTCATGATGCCAAGGAAAGTTATGCTTACCAATATCATCGACTTGACAACTTAGTCTCTAGTTTTTCTACAACCTCCGATATAGGTTGTTCCCAAGAACTCATTGGCTTTCGGATAGTTTAATAATCAATAAGTATCATCCAACTTGAATGATCGGAGGGACACTAGAAATATAGAATACAAAAATATCTTACCACCTCTCTTTATATCCCTAGGGAATCTTTTTACGCATCCGATGACCATTAGTCAAATAACTTCGATACACATACCTTTATAAAAAACCCCTATATCCAAGATGGTATGGTTCAAATAAGACTTATGAGTATCACAATAATGTAACTAAACATAATATTAAAGATTGCATTGGCTTCAAGAAAAGGGTTAAGTCATTAATCGATCAAGGTTGGTTTACATTTGAGAAGGATAAATATAATGCCACTCGATGATATGGCATACGATAAAGAGAAAATTGAGTTTGAAAATTTTCATGTCTAGCTCGTTTGACATGATAAGTACCGATGGTGTTGATATGAAGCCTTCTAGTTTATAAGCTTCTATTCATCCCGAATGTTTTTATAAGTTGCATAAGATAAGGGAGCATAATATTGATGAGTGTGCCGAATTTCATCACTTGGTCTAAACTTTTCTAGTATTGGGGACTTTAAGGGTAGAGAAGAAGAAAAGAAATTTTGAGGTGAATATTTTATCTTCAAATAATGATGTTGACAATTTTGCATCCTTCAAATATAAGTCAAATGGAGTGGGTCCTATGAAACTGGTTTTGAAAATGCCCATACCTCTAAAGGTTGATTATCGAGTTATTCCTTATAAATATGGATCTTTTACTTATTCTAGTAAGTCGCATGCTCGTCATAAAAATCTCTTATGCTGGAGTAATAGATATTGGAGGAATTACATGCACATGAAGATGCTTTACCTCGGAGAAATTGAGAGCGAGATAAAAGGAAGGACGTCAAACCTATCCCTTTAAATATAGAAAATACCATAAAGGACAAAAGAAGCTGAGCCATCTTCTATTAATGTTAAAATCAACAAAGTAGTTGAGGATGAAAACATATGGAATTTTTGAAGTTAATGAAGTATAATGATTACATTATGGTGGATTAGTTAAAAAAAACTTCGCATGGATCTCTCTCATGTCACTAATCCTAAGCTCTAAGCTTCATTGAAAAGCACTTGAAAAAATCCTCAAAGAAGCATATGTCTCATAGAATATCACTTCTAACTTAATGGAGTATTTAGTAGATAGAGTATAAACCACCAATTACTTATATTTTATCGAAGATAAATTGAGACTTGAAGGAATCGGTCACAACAAGACCTTATATATCACCATCAAGTACAAAGATCACATGATAACGAAGGTGTTAATTGATAATGGGTTCGATCTTAATGCGCTATCAAAGTATGTCTTAGATGGTCTACTAGTTGAACCTTCTCATATGTGGCCACACAAAATGATGGTGTGAGCTTACGACGGTATCACTCATCGGGTTATCGAGGACATAGAGATTGATCTAAGCATTGGGCCATACCAATTACAAACTACTCTACTAGTGATTGACATCCACCTTTCCTATAGTATGTTGCTAAATAGGCCATGGATCTATTCTATAGGAGCTATCACATCTTAGCTATATTAAAGGTCGAAGTATATAGGCGAGGGAAAGCTAATCACTATGAGAGTCGAGGAGGCTATGGCCATGGCTAAAAATGTGTAGTTTCATATATTGAGGTAGAAGGAGTTAGTAATAGGAACCTAAATGCTTTCAAAGTAGCTAATACCGAGTTCGTCGATGAGAATTCATGAGTAAAGATCCTAAGTTATCTAATGCTATGAAGATGATAGAAAAATATATGATAAAAGCTAGGTTACCACGGTTTTGCATTGATAATGGTATGCCTAATGATTTTAAACTTTTGAAGTAAGGGATGATCGATCAACATTTGGGTTGAGATATAAGCCATCTAGGAGGGACTATTAGAGGATGGTCAAATTGAAAAAAAAAAAAAGATTGGCTTGTATTGAGGGGTGAGATGCTAATTATAGAGAAATTAACATCCCTCATATTTGTATTGCACTCCCACGACCTTCATATATGGTGTTTGTAAGTGATAAGGATTTGAAATTAGATTACATCTTCGATGACCCAGTGGTCGGTACCACTAGGAGCGAGTAGTGATCGACGATAGTGACTAAGGTGCACTACTAACATCATTATAAGTCGTCTAATGTCTGTAAAGATGATAGAAAAATATATAATAAAAGCTAGGTTACCATCGTTTTGCATTGATAATGGTATGTCTAATGATTTTAAACTTTTAAAATAGGGGATGATCGATCAACACGTTAGATTGAGATATAAGCCATCTAGGAGGGACTATTAGAATACGGTCAAGCCGAAAAAAAAAAAAAAAGATTGGCTTATATTGAGGGGTGAGATCCTAATTATAGAAAAATTATCTCTCATATTCATACTGCTTTCCCACGACCTTCATATATAGTGTTTGTAGGTGATGCAGATTTGAAATTGGATTATATCTTTTATGACATGACGGTCAATACCTTAAGAGCGAGTAGTGATCGACGATAGTGACTAGGGTGCATTGTCGACATCATCATAAACTAGCTTTGATGTGGTGACTTTTCCATAGCTCAACATCACTATGATGGAGGAAGCTTTTGATATCGACATGGTTGTTTGGAAGTGTGTCGAAGATGAGGAGGCGGCCAATTAGTTGAAGGAGGAAGCATCGATCGTCTACAAGGTCGAGTAAACCTCTATTTTATCATATTTTCTTTAACCTTCTAGTTAAATTTTGGCTCAAATCCTAGGAAGGGATTTTTTATGTGAAGCCTTATCTTGTTCATAGATAATATTAATGCATCAAACTATACGAAATTTCTCTTTTAAAATTATTTTATTTGCATTCTTTTTCTCCTAGTTTTATTTGCACTTTTATTTCATTTTAAAGACATACATTATGATCATATCTTTAAAAATAAAAATAATTGGCCTAAATTTGATGAAACTTTAATTGGAATGGATGAAAAAGAGTAGGAAAATGATGATATAGAAGAATTCACAAATTTGATAGAATTTTCAACACGGTTTATCAAACCATACCAAGAAAAAGTATAAGTGATAAATATGGAGATTAATAAGAATAAGTGAGAGTTAAAGGTCAAGATCTTGATGAAGAATGCTAAAAAGAAAAGTTTGATTTCCCTCTTGAAATAATACTCTAATGTATTTGCTTGGTTATATGTTGATATGCTAAGGCTAGACACTAAGATTGCGGAGCATAGATTGCTTTTGAACTCGAGGTGCAAGCTGGTAAAATAAAAGTTAAGAAGGAAGAGGTCGAATGTTTTACTTAAAATGAAAGAAGAGATTAAGAAATAACGAGATGTAGGATTCTTGGAAATGGTCGAATACCCTTAGTAGGTATCAAACATAGCGATCATAGGCAAGAAAGATGATAACATGTAAATGTGTGTGGATTATTGAGATTTGAATAGAGTCGATCCAAAAGATGACTTTTTATTACCACATATTGATGTCTTGGTTGACAATACTATGAAGAATGCCACCTATTTATTTATGGATGGATTTTCATGATATAATCGGATTAAGATGGGTATGGATGACAAAGAGAAGATGACATTTATCATGCATTAGTGAACGTTCTACTATAAAGTTTTGCCTTTTGGATTGAAAAATATTGAGGCTACTTACCAAAGAGTCATGGTCACACTCTGTTCCACGATATGATGTATAGAGAAGTTGAGGTGTATTTAGATGATATGATTGCAAAATCCAAGTAAAATAACGATCATGCTTTGATTATAAGAAAGTTGTTTGAGAGCTTAACGAAATATTGATTAAATTTAAATCTTGCAAAGTGAATTTTTGGTGTGAGGTCTAAAAAATTGCTTGGATTCATGATGAGCAATAGAGAAATTGAAGTTGATTATGATAAAATCAAATCCATTCAAAGTATGCCATGATCGTCAACCTAGAAAGAAGTCAAAAGCTTTTTAGGTCGATTAAATTATATTACTCATTTTGTATCTCAATTAACTAATACTTATGAGCTGATATTTTGACTATTATGAAAGAAAACTCTCAATGTATGGGAGTGGGATTGCTAGGAAGCCTTTGATCATATCAAGTAATATTTACAAAATTCACCATATTTGGTATAACCTTACCAAGAAGACCTTTGATTTTATACTTCTCGGTGATAGAAATAGTAG